TGAATCACATCCATGATCTCTGCATCAAATGGCTCTAGCAACTGCACAAGTTTTCCTATCAAATGCAACAATAGGACAAAACCAATGGATGTGAAGGTTCGTGGTGTTTTGTTCTATGTTCCCACCAAACATAATTGCACAAATTGTAGGAATTAATATATTTGAAATTAAATTTGCACAAATCAGCACAAGGAGAGTTTGGCTATCCACGTATATCTTTTTGGGCACCTATCTCCCTTGTAAGCAAAATGTGGATTGTTTGACTGTCAACCATTCAAAGTGTATTGACAGGAGTAAAATTGGTAAAAAAAAAATCAGATAATTCGACCAAGACAATGACCATTCTAATTTTTATTATATGATAATGGCTGTGTTTGGTTGCAATGCAAATAAATTTGTACTAATGTAAAACTTTGGCAGTGCAAATGATTTGAGTATAAATTTTGACCTATTTTTTGTTTCGAATTTTAACTTATTTTGTTTGATTGCAATATAGATGAAGTAAATTAAGACATGAAGCAGAATAAAGTAAAATCCAAAACAAAATTAAACAAGAATTTACGTTTTTTACATTTGCACTCCCATGCATTTGTATTAGTGCAAATAAATTTGAACTGCAACCAAACACAGCCAATAGAATAGATATGGAACAAGCCTATGAAGACAAATCATCGGTTGAGCTGATGGAAAAACCCGACTGGACCAAATTGTTGTGTCTTGGGTGATAAAGGATCACTGTTCATTGATTAGCGATCACATTCACATACAGCATTACAGCAAACCTCCTCCATTTGGTGGACCAGAAACTCTAGAGCACTGGACGGACCTAAATGGGATCCAAGTGGCCAATGAAGTGGACACTAGTGATGCATATTAGATCTTAGGGTTTCTAGTTGATAAGGGCAACTTTTTGCCTTGAATATCAATAAAAAATAATATTTTTATAAAATAACCAAAATAGGATAGCTTCTTTTGGAAAAATATCAAGAAAGGGCAATGACACTATTCCTTGTCTTCCTCCTCTACCTCTGGGTTCATGTGAATACACTGGATTCGAAGACGAGGGTGAGGCTTGGAGGAAGATGAAGGCGAATAAGAGAAGGAAGAGGAAGACAAGGGTTTTGCGCACTGACATGGGCGGATAAGAGAAGGAAGAGGAATGAAAGGAACAATGGATTCACCCATGTTAGTGGAGACTGTTCCTCGTCTTCCTCCATGAGATTCTCATTGTTAGAAGCTCCCTTGTAGTCGATGCTGATGACTTTGGAATTGAACTTGATATGGCAAAGAAGGTCGAACTCCTGAGCATACAAATCAAGATACTCCATGATCTAGTTGCTATTGGGAAACTCTTCTTTTATGGTAGATGGCCATGGAAAATCCAAGAATTCATAGGCAAGATCTTGAGAGGGTGCATGGCTATTGTTCCTCGTCTTATCCACCCATGTCAGTGTGCAAAACCCATGTCTTCCTCTTCCTTCTCTTATCCGCCCTCGTCTTCCTCCAAGCCTCGTTGTCATTTTTTATTCCAATGTATTCGCATGAATATAGAGGCAAAGGAGGAAGACGAGGAACAATGTCACTGCCCTTTCTTGATATTTTTCCAAAAAAAAAACTATCCTATTTTGATTATTTTACAAAAATATTATTTTTTATTGATATTCGGGGCAAAAAGTTGCCCTTATCTGCTAGAAACCCTAGATCTTATTGCCTACTATTGCGTGAGCTATATGCATATATTTTTTAATTTTTATTAAAGGCATATTAGATTTTTTTTTTGTGAAATGGCATATTAGATTCAAAGTTACAACATATGGGATTTTTTATTAGAAAATGTATAATACATGAAAATATCAATTTAAAAAATATGGTATAAAAAATTATTTGAATATTTGTGTTTAATATATTTGCATAATATAAAAATATGATTGTATTTTGCAAAGGGTTCAACTATGATAACAAAAAGACATGATAATGGAAAAACTTGCAACCAATCAACTAACATCATAAAAGAGGTGATCAATCAGGTGGTAATCATAAAATTCATGGGGGTGCTTTGATTGGTCAAATTTCTCCTAGTACCATGTCTTTGCGGTATCATAGGTTTTCCCATTGTAAATGGGTTTGGCTATGATACCTAAATGACATGATACCAGAAAAGCTTATAACCAATGAACCAATATTAAAAAAGTGGTAAGCAATCAGGTGGTATATATTAAAATTCATGAGGAGTTATTGGTCAAAGCCCTTCCAATATCATTCTTTTTGACAGCATAGATTTTACCTTTATAAACATACATATTTTTAATAGAATATGCATGCATTCATATTTTTCATAAGATAACAAATAATAAAAAATATGTATCTTTTTACCACATTTTACAAACTTTACCCTGATTTTACATATATTTGTTAAGGTGTTTCCCAAATCTTATGCTTTCAACAACATTCAATCGACTTTTTTTTTTTTGGTTTTTTGGTATTTTAGTGCAACACACTAATAACTCTCCATGGTAGGTGTTCATATCTCTATCGGGACTAGCCAATTTAGAGGTGTAAAATGGGTCGTGCCACCCTCCCTAGGGATAATTTGGGGGGTCGGCCTGGCACGGCCCACGGCCCAACCCTTTGCGTGCCTGTGCCATGCCATGTCGTGCCAGGCCTTGGGCGTGGGCCAAACCGGGCCAGACTGGTTTTTTTGTTTTTTTTTGACATTTTTTATTTTTTTTATTTCTTGGCTAAGTAAAATTAAAATATTTAGCTTTCCTTTAGGAACTAGTTGAAAAAATAAGAAATATAACAAAGAAATGAAAAAAAAAATACTTAACCAAATAAGAAGTCAAAGATACAAAGACTCAAAGTGAATAACAAATGAGAAGAAAAATAGGAACTTTATTTCATTTAAATTTGAAATGGTTGGATAAATGAAATAGGAAAATTGGAAAATGGAATAAATTAATAAAATATAAAAATACAATATGGTTACAATTTGAAAATAAAAAATTATATTATTAAAAAATGTCAAATAAATTAAATAAAATAAAAAAATTACGACAATTTGAAAAAATGCTATACAAATATTGAGTATACAAAAAATATTAACTTCATCATTTGTCCTATTATTCTTGACTTTGATCATTGTAGGAATTGAAAATGGAGGATAGGGCTATTTATAGGAATTGTTGAATTGGTGTGATGAGAATGGTGGAGAATAGGGCTATTTATAGGAATTGAAAATAATTCAATTGCCCAAAATACTCTAAAAAATAGCAATTTTTTAGTTGTTGGGAGCAAGGTTCAAAATATCGATACGCTCGATACGTTGGTAGGGGCATATCGGGCCATATCAGTACTTTTTTTACTTTTTTTATTTTTTTCAAAACCGGTTCAGGGGGTCGGTTTAAGGCTCCTCCACCCACTGAACCGGTCAGAACCCTGATACACCCCCTGTAGGGGTGTATCGGGTAGCTCCCGAAATGATACGTATCGCCCGATACATACTTTGAACCTTGGTTGGGAGGGGTATTTTGGTCATTGTAAAGTTATTTATCACTTTATCCAAAATGCCCCCCAAAATAACTGTTATATAGATGTTGGGGGCACGTGTCATTCTTTCTCCCCCCCAAAAAACCAAAATACATAAATACCCCCCTATATAGCTATTTATAACTGTTAAAGGGTATTTTTATAAAAAAAACCCCTATATAGCTATGGGCCCATGGGTCATGCCGTGCTGACCCGTGACGGGCCATGTTGCATGTCGTGTCATGGGCTGGGCCGCGGGCAGCATGACACGCACAATCGTGTCGTGTCGTGCCAACCTGTGAACCTAGAACCCTAAGCCCAATACTGCCCAAATTATCGTGTCAGGCTTGGCACGGCCCATGTGCCATCATACTAGGCCAATCCAAATTCGGATCAGGCCGTGCTGGGCCGAACCGTTGGCGACACAACCCAATTTACACCTCTAAGCCAACTAATGTACCAATTGAGCCACCACTCAGGAGTAAGAGCTTGTTCAAATATGACCTTTATCAACACGCTCTTTTAATAATCACTTTAATGCCTAGTGAAAGAAGAGCTTTTAAGCCTCAGCTTGGAAAGAGTACAAAAACAAAATTGTATAGTGCAAAACCTTGTATTTTGTATCATTTTGTATGTATTTGCATTGTGCATATTTGTATTTGTACTCCTTCCAAACTGAATCATACTCTTTCCGGTTCAAGAATGCAAAATGTAATCCATTTATTGTATTCTTCCTATTTGTTTGAAATCGATGCAAATCGTGAACCCTATCATTAAATGCTTTAAATTTTTTGTTAAACACACCAATAATCAGAAAGGCACAAATTTATATCCAAGAAATGAGTACATTAATGTGACCTTCTCATGAATCAAAGAAGTCAGAAAACACATTTTTGACATCTTAATCATTACTTTTTTGTATGACAGCCAAACGCTCGCAAACGCGAACCTGGATACATAAATACCCCGGTTCAGCATTTGTATTGCAAACAGCAGCCTAAGGTTCCATCGTTTGCAATGCAGTTTCATTTTCACTAGCATAAATGAAGGGGATCAGGGGAGTACAAGTAAAAAGAGTATAAACTCTTTGAAACAACAGAGTTAAATGGTTCAAGGAACATTTAAGAAACCACATGATTTTAAATAATTACCTTTTTCTTTTCGTGAATAGGTGAAATAAGTTTAAAACATCTATTTGTATCAGAGAAAATAATGTAATCTTACAGAAGTGCCCATATATTATTACAGGACCGAATTTTGATTTTACCAGATTTACCGGGGATTTCAAAAGATTGTTTTGGATCTGGTCTTTGTTAGAATTGAAACTGGGGGGTTGATGTAATAAAATTTTCTTTTCTTTTTCTTTGTTTTCTTCTTTTTTTTTTTTGGTGACATCTTATCACCCCTTGTATCTCTTTCTGGATTTCAATGAATTTTCTTTGTTATTTTTTTCTAAAAAAAAAAAACATATCATATGACCAAGGTCGATGGCATATTCTTTGTCCAATCATAATCAAATGCTCTGAACATCTATTGTGCTCAAAAGAACCACAACGCATCAAATGTCAGCTTACATACCAATTCGATTTCCCGTTTTTTATCAATCATCTCATCTCATCTAAGCTTGGCCGGAGGGAGAGGACACTGCATCCTGTTTATGTTGGTTCGGGTCCACATTACATGCTTTTGCCGTTTTCTCTGCCTCAGCTTTCTCAAGTAAAGCTTGCTCATGCATGGCTTTCATCATCTCCCTCATTTTCTTTTCCTCTCCTTCAAGTTGCATGTTCATTATTGTCTCAGCTTGCTTGTCAATTGGCTTGAAGTATTCTTCAATGGCAGCCTCCTGCAGAGAAACATCAAGTCTCCATTAAGTAGTCAAAATTGCATTAGAACCCCCGTCATCTTCACTATATAATGCTCAAACTTGAGTATGAAAATGGCTTTCACAAGAAGCCAAAATAGACTTCCAAGAAAAAGAAGGACCAGCCAACAAATTCTAATGAGAATTTTACACACAACAGTTGCACATTGCATTCTTGTAATAGAGATTTGCTGAATGGAAGTGGAAGAAAATAAGTGGTTATTGGCTAGATGAATAGTGAGGACTCAACCTTGCAGATGCAGCACTTCATTAGAAAAGCTACAGATCTTGCATCCAGAGTGAACGTCTCATTCACATGGATAAGGCAATTGGCAAGTGTTTTGGTTGATAATTTGACTGGTTCTGTATGTAACAGTCTATATGTTGGAATAATCTTCACTAAAGAAAGAAACCTCAAGGCTACTCAACCTAAATGGATTGGCTTCTGAAGCTATTAGGGAATAAAAGAAATGACCCTTGAACCAATGTATTTGAGCTAAATGATTAAATTTCATAGCAAGCAATGAAGCACATCTAGATTCCAATTCTTGGTTCTACAGTCAACATCTTGGTTTCTTTCCCATTCCAAAGCTTAGGATAGTGACTGATGAACTCAATAGAGCAGGATGGTGAACCAGGATTTATGTGGCCAACCCTGTATAGTTAGGATAAAGCTTTGTTGAGTTGAATCGAATTGACACAAATGACTTGTGCAATTTGCTACCTGATTAAAAACTAAATTATATTGGGAGAGTCAAGAAGTTACTAACACTATGAGGCGAAAATGAGTCTGGCTTAGTACAAATCTGGGTAGCTAACATCCCTTAAAAGGTAGTGTGGGCAGCTGTTATCGGTGCTTAACAAGGGATAGTCTATACAGGTGAAGCACAGAGATGGTTTCCCGGCAATGTGTTATGTGTTCAGCTGTAAGAGAGAGAGAGAGAGAAGAAATAGGCACCTATGTCAAATCAAAAAGACATATCAGGACGTGGCCTCAAATCAAAGAGCTTCGAAGGCAAGTTAATCCACAACACAAAAGGTCTGGCTTCTGAGCCAACTTTTAGTGGTTGGAATTTGTGAGTTGCTTTTGCCTTGACTTGTTATAAAAAGTCCATACACGTGCATTGATGTAATTGAGAAAAGTGAATGCATCAAGGACAACATGGTATTAAAAAAGTGAATGCATCAACATTACAAATTTCAGTTTCTTCTTCAGACAAATTTACCCCTGTTCATGCAAGTACTACTTACTGTTTCTTCCAGTTTCCGGTTTAATGTCTGCATTTCCTCAACCATACGGCGAACCTCAGCTAAAACAGCCTGTTCTGGGATCCTTCTCAAGGCTTCCTTCCTTTCTTGTGCCTGTGCAAGAAAAGGAAAAGACAAAATGGACATTGTGAATGGAAAGTGGAATGAGTTGTATTTAACATCAGTAACAAAGTTGGCTAGGCATATGCATTTTATCTTATTTTTCCTTACAGTGGTAAGAACTGAAATGCAATCACACAAAAAACTGTTTTGCAGAATTTTATACAAGTTGAGATTTAAGAGAAAAACAATATAATTGTGCTTTAACTGTTGTGAACTAAACTCTTTTAAAGGCTAATAAAAAGATACATTACTGATAAAAAAATGTTGCAAACTGATGAGGCCGGATTTGGCCCTCCAATGACATTATGACACATGGCACCTCATGACAACTAGGTGCAGCCCGGCACTCCACAGGCAGCTTGCCACCAAGCAGCTCGCCACCTCACAGGCAGCTTGCCACCAAGCAGCCCGGCACTTCACAGGCAGCTTGCCACTAGGCAACTCGCCACCATGCAGCCTGGCACCTTACGGGCAGCTCGTCTCCCAGTCAGACCGACCGCCGCGTGGTAATTCCAAGGATCTCACCATCGTACCCCGCGTCTTACGGGATCGTACCTTGTAACGGCTATCTATATTAGCTCACCCACTCCCCGATTCAGGCGAAAATGGGCAACCTTACCGGTTGGTGGCATTATCCCCACCTAACATGGAAACAGATCCTATCACAGCGGGGATCCAGGAACTACTCCACCAAACCCGCGAGGACTCCAGTATATAAAGGCCTCACCCCCCCCCCCAGGGGCGAGAAGAAAAATAATGTGTAATCTCTACTCTCTAGCTCTCTCATAATCTGATATCATCTTCAAGCTCACTACTAAGTGCTAACTTAACCATCGGAGTGACCTTGCCGGGTAAGGCACCCCGGGTTCTCTGATTCACCTCTTGCAGGTTCCTCAGTTCCCGTCGTTGCTGGTAGCCAGATCATCTCCAGCAAGGAGCAGCCGGATTGCGCTACGTCATTTGGCGCCGTCTATGGGAACTGCTACTAAAGCCCTTGTCTCCATTCAAAAATCTCAAGCTCAGAATCAAATCCATGGCTTCCTCCAGCAACGCCGGACAAAACAACAAAGTGCACGTCTTCGGGGGGCAAACTTAGTTCCCGTCTGTCTACCGCTTACTGCGGCTGAGGTCCTAGCGCTGACGATGCCCCAAGTGACTGCACAAGTGAACGCACCACTCCCTCCTGTAATCAGCGCAACATTCACTGAACCCTCTATGGTTCTGTGGGAAACGCTACAAAAAGCTAAGTTCTCATCCTACAAAAAGCTAAGTCCTCTTCTCCCAGAAAGCTAAGTCCTCACTTTTTAGAAACTAAAGCTCTCGCTTTATAGTTTCCATTTTTTATGAACTCAAAAACTATGCAGAAAGCTAACAGACTAAGCAGCTCAACCAACCTTACTTTCAATTCAGATAAAACCTCACCAGTCCTCTTCGTGAGGTCCCCTCTACAAAGATGAGCTCTTCGTGGCTTCCGCATGAGTTTGGCGGCCAACAGACTACATGGGCGCCCTTGCTGGTCGAGCCTTCCAAGGCTCCCGTACGAGCTGGCGACCTAAAGTTAGTGGTACTGCCCCCGAAGGTTGAATTCCTAGTAGCTTCTTGTAGGAGTGGGTGACCGGCGTCACGAGGTTGATGCAGCGCAGTCATAGCTCTAAGGCGCCCACCCGGCGGCCTGGCCCTATGGTATGGACTATATGGGAGGAAAGAAACCAAAGACTCTTCTCTAAAAAAAGTAAATCAAAGGAGGAAGTCATTGAAGCCATAAAAATCAGAACTGGACATTGGATGATGACCATGGAACTATTCAAAAACTTCTCCACAAATGACATTCTAAGAAACTGGACTGAAGTAGCACAAACAGATGTACCCAAAGAAGTTGTGAGAACGGAATGGAAGCCACCTGCACTGAACAAACTAAAACTAAACTTTGATGGGAGTTTTTCCTTTGGTAACCCAAGAAGGGCAGGTATAGGGGGTGTGATTAGAAATCATCTAGGTGAAGTTGTGGCACTCTTCTCATGACTAATAGATATTGGTGACTCAATACAGGCTAAATCTCTGGCTCTACTTCAAGGTTTAAAGATGGCTGAGCAGATTGGAACAACAGATTTAGAAATAGAGGAAGACTCACTACTAGTCATTTCTTGGGCTAAAAACATCACATCAGCACCTTGGAAGCTCAAATTTATCTACAGAGAAATTGACATACTTGCGAGGAGGTTCAACTCTCAGTTTGGTTGGGTCAAAAAGACTGCAAATGGGTTGGCGGAGACCCTAGCAAAACAGGGGGCAAATAGATCTACCTTGTACTGGGCAGAACTGTAACTGTTTGTATGTGTTTGTAGATTGGGTTAATGCATTACTGCAACCTATAACTATTGTAGTTCAATATTTCTGTTATTAATAAAAGTCTTTTTTGTTGATCAAAAAAAAATACCAACATGAAAGAACAACAAAAACTAAAAAATATAGAATAATTGCCCAACTTGGCTTTAGGAAGTATTTAACATGCCAAAATCAAACCATGGCAGAATTCCCTTTGAGAACCTTAACCCTTCCTCCATACTTGTCATGTTTTGATTTCAGTTAAATGGTCCTATTTGTTTTGCCGAACTCTAATAGTTTGAAGCCTATAAAGATTGAATAATTGCCCAACTTGGCTTTAGAAAGTGCTTAACATGCCAAAATCCCCATTCCTGGAATCACGTAGCTACTGCATTTTTAATTTGAGATTCACAAACCATTACTGTAATCACTTGGTTTGTTCATGACCTCATATATCCTATTTATAACATAATCAAAAACTTAGCATAGAACAAGTAGTGCTTTCTGTAAATAATACAAAATGCAAATCATCAACCGTGGTGGAAGAAGCATTTTCACTAAATTTCGAACTTCGTAGTTTATATTTGCATAAGCCAATAAAAAGAAGTTAATTACTTATATTGATCAATGAAACGGTCGTACATTATGATAAACAAAACTAAGCAGTACTGCCAATGCCCAGAATGGCTGCAACAAGGCAAAGCTATCCGGGAATAGGGAAATGGGAGAAACATGAAGAACCCTAACCTGTTCAAAGCGTCTTTGCAGTTGCAATCTGTAGGATCTGATTCTTCTCTCCTCATATCCCGAAAGAACCCTAACAAAGAACCAAGCTTTCCTCCCAAACTCCAGTAGTTTATCCATGATAAACGACTGCTATACAGTAACTCTTCCTGCATCCAAGAATAAACAAAATTCAACATCAGTAAGCGTCATTTAATTGGTGCCTGACTATCTGTAAACTGAAAGCACAAAGTCTGCTTCAATTCCTCAAGGGACCAAGACCTGGGTCCATCAAAAATCCAAACGAGTACTCTGTAAGACAAATTTCGAAATTACAGTTCAGTGTAAATCATCATTCATTGTTGCAACTCAGGGCAACTAAAGATCTCCTTAATAATCAAGAATACAGAGACCATAGAGCTGCACATAAACACGGGAAATTTTTCAAAAAAGAAAGAAAATAGGAAAGGAAATTCATCCTCACCTTCCATGGAGTACCGCGTAACTGGAGATCAATGGTGTTGCAGCCAGCAAATGACTATATAAGTATAAACATGAATGGGGCTTTACATAAACCGACCCAAACCCACCCACTATCAATCCACCCATACCCACCCATCTCTCATATGGGTCGGTCAATATGGACCAAGCAATTTATTCGGGTCGGGTCAATTCATCAGGTCAAACGGAAAAAAAGGCACCAACCATTGGTCATTCGTTCTCCTCCCTCTCCACTCTGCTCCCAAACTGAAGGTGGATAGAGGGCAATTGATGTAGGGTGATTTGGCCCGACCTAGTAATAGGACATGTGGACACAACCTAACTGACAGGACAACAGCTCATCCCGACATCCAAAAAATTTCGAGGAGCCTTTGGAGTAAGATATTCTCATACTGTTCACATAACCAAAGTTTTTTTTTGGTTTAAGCTTGGATTGGTCTTGTCTGGACCTACTAAGAACTAAAAAAGGGCATATAAGAGAAGGAACAATAGTAAGACTATTAAACCAACAGATAAAGCTTTTGATAACGAGAATTTTCAGGGTGCCTCTAATTTGGGTAAGCAATTGGAGACTGGTCAACATGAAGCTGCAACTGAGAAGGATTCCATTCCTATTGTAAGAGACCTTGATAAAAGTGTTGAAAGGAAGGTGGAGAAAACTGGTAATATTTCTATCGAGGCAGCGACTAAAAAGGGTGTAGAAATTGGTAAAAGCTTGGGTTTGTTCTTCTGGGGAGGTGAGGAATTCGCCAGGAAAGCCTTTGAAGAGTTTGAGAGGAAGAAGGAAGAAAGTTCGAGAAAAAGGGTATTTGAAGGAGGGAGATGGGATGAAAAGGGCAACAACTAAGGGGAGGTGTTTGTAGGGGAAGATTAGGTTATCTCCTCTGCTACTCATCTTGCTCACGTTGCAGTTGACTTCTATAAAATTGGCCTAGGATCTGGTTCCAGAGGAGTTAGTTTTCTTTTCTTTTTATTAGAGTCTTCTTGTTGACTGTTTTTTAGTGTAAAAAGTGTCTTAGTCTTATCTTCTCCTAGATGATTTCTTATCACATTCCTTCTATACTTTCTTTTTTTTAATGGAATTTTCTTTATTACTTTTCAAAAAAAAAAAGAAGCTTGAGTATGAGGTCATCTTTTATTTATTACAAAAAAGATCTTGTATATTCTTCCTCATGATGGCATGATCTTTGTCATTTTTTTTTTGAAGGTATAATTGTAATAAGTATCAAAAAGTGAGTAGAAAAAATGGTCCTTTCTGTTAGACAATGTATGCCCTTAGCTCCAATCAAAATGATGTACTTAATGACATTTATTGTAAATGAATAAAGTACATATTTGATTTGTGTTCCTGTGGTGTGTTTCTATGTAATACCCTTAAACTGGACACTTATGAGACTTGTGTTAATTTAGAATGTTCATAGTCGTTGGATAAGTCTGGGGAGATTTATCCTGCCAAGGCTGACACTGGTGTGCTACCAAATGTTGGGGTGGCCGATTTCAACCACCAGGGTGAGACCCAAGGCACATGCAGTGTAGGTTTACTTGAAACCCTGAACCGGACCAGATTTCCAGTATTGCCCTGGACCTTGGAGATTGATGGGCAAAACTGGAATGTTACACCTGACCCCTAGACTCGATTATGATACTGCACTAGGTGTCGGATTGGGCTGTCTTTGATATGCCAATCAGTGAGATCCTTAGAGGGGGTCAAAACCTGGGTATGTTGGGACAGTCCGAGAATTCATCTGAGTGGGTGATCATGGTGACAGGATCAGCCCCTTTGTCGGAGAAAGGTAATGATCAGGGATGCACTCTCTCTGATGGAAACCAAACTGCCGGCAGTTGATTTCAATCGTTGAAATTTTGTTTTGCAAAATATATAAATATATATAGTTTCAAATTGTTTGCAAATGGTTTTAATTCCCGGGATCCATATGAGTAGAGAGTGTAGCACTGTTCCTTGCAGCCGAGGGAGAGGTCCTCTCTTGTCGGGCAGTGTTTGATCATTATGGGCTGAGAAGTTAAGTGTAAGACCATTGAGGGTAATACCTGATGGGCTAATCTTGCATCTGCCCACAGTCCCTGGGTTTTTATAAAGTGGCTTGGCCTAGGGACCATTTAGTGTAAGTGTTGGGCCCATTAGGAGCTCATGTGATGGGCTTCAGGGGGTTTCACTGTCTTTTCAGTGAATTCGGCCAGGCCTTGTAACAAAGGTTGGGCTGAACCCATGTGGCTGATGTGTAGATCAATGTTTGGGTCCCACGCCATACAAAGAAGCCCAAATGGGCAGCAGTTTGGAAGCAGAGTGAGCACTTAAGCTTCATGGGCCTAAAGCCCATTTTGAACTGGGCTGATTTGATCAGTTAACTAAAAGGGCGAATCTGAGATTAGATCAGCATATAGGATTGGGCCTTAACCCTATCCACTCAGAGAGTCTAGATCTAAATAAGACTTAGATCTAGAAACCTCCTAATAAGATTAGGAGAGGGCTGATCTAATCTGCAGATAAGATAAGGGTTTACCCTTATCACTTAAAGGGAATTCTGATCCAAATATGATTTGGATCAGCAACTCCTAATAGGATTAGGAGCTGATCCCTTTAAGGTTATAAAAGGAGGAGGGGGCGGCAGCCTCTGGGATTATCAGATAATCAGATCTTCCTACTCTCAGAGCAAGAGACACAGAAGAGAGAACATAGCATCACTGCGCTAATTTCTCTCTACCGCCTCCTTCCTGCCGCCGCCGCCACTACCAATTCGATCTCCTCTTTCAAGCAGGAGCGATCAAGATAGGATCTTGATATCAGCCTTTGGAGAAGGGTTGATCTGAAGTTGTGTTCACAGCCTCCAGCGAATTCTTGTGAAGGGTTCGGTTCGTGGGACGAACACTGCTGATTCTGCTCCACCCTACACTATTCATCTTCAGTGGGAGCAGTCTTTGGAGTCTTTCTTTGGACGTGAACACGTTCGTTGGGAGATATTGCTTCTCCGTATCAGGTATATCCCTCTCCTGCTTCTGGTTTCAGATCTGGTTTGGTTTAGGGTTCAAGGTTGATCATTGAAAATGCAAATTTTCTAAAACAGGGAATGTAATTCCCAGTTGAGGGGAGAGGAAATTTTTGAAATTTCGCCCAACCTTCCTGCAAGGTTCGGCCATCCATATGATGGATCTCTCATTCCTTCACTTTGTACAAAGAGTTCCTATACATATGAACAAATCCCAAGGAGCCCCAATAAAATCCACTTCCAAAATGAAGATGAGGTGAATTCTCCTTCAAAACAAGTAGCCATCTAGCTTCTAATCATTTCTATAGCAGAATTGATTACTGCTTGGCCTTGCTTTTTGCTCAAACACCCTTTAATTTCTTTCAAGTCAAATGACCTAGAAAATTGCTTCCTGGATGGCTGCCCGGCAGCATTTTCCTTTTTCTGTCATTCCTAGAACATGCCAACCAGCTAGTAGTGCCTTAACTGAGGCAGGGCAATGCCATTGAAGGGGCACTGCCTTGCAGAAAAAAAAAAAAATGCCAGATTCTGGTTGAGAAGGTGTAGAAGTGGAAGAGATGAGCTGTTGTTTCAACCTCTTTATAGCACAGGGGGCAGAGATCAGACAAATTCATAGTTTCATACCCTTACTATCTAACACACACACACATTATATAACAGAAACCAATTCATTAATCAGAAACAATCATGAGTTGCTCAAAACAAAAGGGCAGCAGGCCAAAGAGTACAACAACTTCCATAAACAGAAGCCTTAAAAGTAACAAAGTGAAATAGAAATAGAAAGAGAACTGTTACAGATTATTGCTTGGTCCAGGGTAGCCCCATTCAAGAAAGTCTCCCAATCCCAGCTCTTGCCAAAAGAATCTACTAATGTATTGGCACTCCTAGGAACCCAATTGAATGAGCTGTTCAAATTGGAATATAGAGAATGAGCCAATTTCATCAGAGGTCTGAACTGCCATGGGTTGATTCTGAGATCATCTCATCCAACATACAATTGTTTGGCAATCACCCTCCACTTCCACATTTCTCAAGTGCATCACTAATAGTTATAAACCTTGAATTAGAGCCATCAATTCTGCCCTTTGGCTCAGTTTGGAAGCAGTACAAATGCAAATATGTACAGCGTAAATACATACAAAATAGAAGGTTTTTCACTCTACAAATTTGCATTTGTACTCCTTCCAAACTCAGCCTTTGGGAGTTCCCAAAATGAACTGGACCAAAAAAACTAAGGATTTATTGCGTTGGTGGTCCCTAACAACCACCCCCACTCCAGACATCCTTTGATTACCCAAGCAGCACCCAACAAAATTCAGTTAATACCTTCCTGTCGTTGGTGGAGACCAGAATCATCCTTGAAAACCATCTATGCTATTTCGTCCTCTCAATATGTCATTAAGGGTTACACCATTAAATTCTTTACAAATCATGTCCCAGTGTGCAACTCTTTATGTTATGAGTTCAATCAAACACAATTCCCATAAAACTGCTCCACGTGTACATTATTCATACCCTTCCTAGCTAACATATCCTTTGTTAGACACCTTTCCCAGGCACCAACCGAGCAAAAAACTTGGCTTTTGAGGGAGCTACTGTTCTCCAAATTGCCTTGTGAGGAAAAGAGTCATCCAAGCCTCATAACAACCCTTTATAAAAGGATCTCACTGTGAAGACTGAAGAGACCGGATTTTATCCATCTCCAACTTCTGGAATCTTGGGAATGTGGGTTTACTTGGCTGATTCTGAATCAAGGCAAGTAGTTTAGTTACTTCCCACACCTCCCAATTGTTGAAGTTTCTTCTGAAAGAGGGAGTCCAGGTTATCATTTCCCCACGAACCTGATAAGACTCTGCTACTAGAATATCAGGATTGCTAGTCACTCTGAACAGATCCAGAAACATTTCCTTCAGCACCCTGTCATTGCACCATGGGTCCTTCCAGAACTTAATTTGACTACCATTCCCTAATTTGTATTTTATACCTTTGATAAAATGAGGGGAAGCTTTATTAATTCTCCTCCATGCATTACATCAATAAGCTAAGCTGCTTGAGAACTTCCAGCAGCCCAACCATTGGCATTAATTCCATACTTCTCAGCAATCACTCTTCTCCACAAGCCATCTGGTTCAGCTACAAAACGCCAAAACCATCTCCCCAGGAGTGCCACATTAAAATTTCTTACTCTTCTAATACCCTGCCCACCATCAGAGATGTGTTTATAAATTTATTTCCAACTCACCAGGTGAAACTTTTCTGAATCCTTCCACTCAGCCCACAGGGCTAATTTCCTTTTAATTGCTTCCTTTGGATAGATAGCGAGTCTCCCAAAGGACTAATTTCTTGTTCATCCTCTTGAAGATAGAATTGATTCCAAATGCTCTTTGAAGTACATCTTGCTCCAAAGGGTAGGCCTTGGTATTTGGAATGAAGATGGCTAGTTTTGCAGACTAGGGCCACAACATAATTTCCAAGGCAATGAGGTGAGGCTAGACAATAGGGAGCACCTTGTCACCTAGTCGCCTAGGCAATGGGATTTTTTTTTTGAATAAAAACCATGAACCATGGGTGATTCCCTAGGTTCGATAGCAAGAAACAACCATCTTTCACTATTTATTGTCTATAATCTTTATAAAAAAATGTGTAAACTTCATTTAAAACATAGAAAATCACCATATTCATGAAAAAATGGAAGAAAAAGAAATTTCAGAAAATAGAGGGGTTAAGCCTCTATTTTTGTCCTAAGAAAAGAAGAAAAGAAAATAAAGGATTAAAGAAGAAAAATAAGTGTGTTGATTGGACAAACTTTTGAGCTCTTTCATGCTTATTAGTTCAGGTTTTGAGGTCTTTGAGGGTTCAAGACAATATACATATTTGATTGAACCCTAATAAATAAGAATAATAATACAAAAGCTAGTATTTTAACTCAAGCTAAATAATTTATTTTAATAATGTTTGTTTTGTTATCATAATATCAGAAAATTCAGATTATAAAAGTATCCAAGAGCGCCGTGTAAAAAATATCTTGTCAATTAAGTGAGGTGACCCTCCATGAGCGCCTTATCGCCTAGGCGTCTATCTACATGTTAAGCTCCCTTGATATTATTTGATTGTCATAGTTAATTAGTTAGGTAGTATTGTTATGTGGATTGGGAAAAGCCCAAAAAAGTTGAACCTTGCTGGGTTATTTGATGCAAAATTCAGATCTTTATTAAGCCCAAGAAAGGAGAAATTGAAATTTTCATGGACAAACAATTTTCTCCTATGATCAATCTAGGATTAAACAATCAAATTTGATGTCTAGATCAAAGTTGGAATGTTACCTGATGCAGAAACCACAATTGCACCTCCCAAAGTGGTGATCCACGACCAAAACTCGGGTCCAAATCGAGTTCCAGAACTGAAGATGGTGCAGTCCAATAGCAAGAACTTGATCTAGTCTTCTTTTGTAAATCGATGTGCACTCCAATGACTTTGAATGCAGCTGTTAATGACTTGAGCAATCTGTGTTTTTGCTGGAAAACTGAGAGAGAAAAGAGAGAAAAAACTCCCCTGTAAACCTTGGTTGAACTAGGGTTTGGAGGTAGGGGAATAGATGATAATCTCTAGCTAGAATCTCCCATTCTCTTATCATATATAGAGCTGGATTTTTTTTTTTTTATCAGCAACACAGAAAAGATTCATTAATTAAAAAAAAAATCATGTACAATAAGAAGTTGTGGGCGGACAAGAAGTCCAAAGTATCCCACTAATTACATCACAGCCCCAAGCATAGCCCAAAGGACAAATCCTTTAATTACAACACCACCCCAAAGGTAACCCAAAAGGAAAATCCCACTAACTACAACATAGCCCAGAAAATAGATTGTCTTTGAACTCCTTGCTTAGCTAGACTATCAGCCATGCTGTTAGCTGATCTTCTAATCCATCTTATTTGAATCACCATGTCTTTAGAATCCTGCTTGAAGTGCCTGAGCTCATTCCTTAGCTGCCAAATTATTCCTTCCCCTTTCTTCAGCCAGTTTACCACAATTTTGAGTCCCCTTCAATAATCAACCTATTAATCCCATTTATTTAGCTTTTTCAATACCATATACTTCTGCCTTCATTTCTGAGCATGCTGAATAGGACCTGAGAACATGGCTAACATATTTCCATTCTCTTCCCTTATTACCCCACCAATGCCCGATGGGCCCGGATTTCCCAGACAGCTGCCATCAAAATTTAGTTTCTTCCACCCAGCATCCAGAGGGGACCAGAATTCATTTACAATAGATCTTCTAGATGCAGTGTTTGCAATTGTTCCCCATGATCTGAAAAAGTCTTCTGTCATAAAATCAACAAACAATTTTAGTGTTTTCACCCAATGTGCCACCCTTAGAGTTATCACTTCAATCACAGCTTCTTTGCTTCTTTCTTTGTCATCAAAGATCCTCAGATTTCTTTCTTCCCAAATTGTCCAAGCTACTGTTGCTCTAGTGCTTATTCCCATAATTCTGCCTCTCCTTTTAGAACACCTGAAAATGTGAGAACTAAAAAAGCTTTCCAGATTAACAGGAGTAGTCCAACTGCATCCCAATAGAAGGGAAAACCACTCCCAAATATAGGTAGCAAAAGGATAGGAAATTAAAAAGCGAAAGGCAGTCTCACCATGCAACTTAAATAAGGAGCACCAATTTGGTCTTTTTCTCTGAAGCATATCACATGTATTGAAGTTTGGATGTTGGAATATTGTAGTCCAACTAGGAGTTTCCAAATCAACTTTCTAACTTAGAAGTTTCTAAATAGGAAACCATGCTAATCATATTAAAACTATGAAAGAAACCAAACCCTTCTCAATTCGGCCCAAACTATCCAACTATCCAGTTTCCTAGTCAAATTAGTCTTTGTTGGGAATTGGATCGACACACTCATCATTTAATCTACAACTTTAACTAGTCAATAATACTTGGATATTGTATGGCATGGGACTCACTAGCTTCACCAGTTGAAGCTAGTGTACTGTCTACCCAATCGAATTGGGCTTAGAACCGGCCCAACACTTAAACATAAGTGAGCTTTGGGTTTCAGCCACCCTATGAACCCAAAACCAATGGTTTAATGTGAGAAATATGCCCATCAAGTTTCAACCCAAAAGACTTTTGCTCTTAACTTCTCAACCCAATCCAATAGGATTGGGGGACTTGCTTAGAGCACAAGTGTTGGCCATCCTCTAGGGGCACAGATTGGCTAAGCAATTGAGTATGCAACAGCTAGAGGTGGAGGGAGACTCAAAATTAGTAGTAGGTTGGTTACAAACAAATAGTTTGGGAATGTGGTCCCTTAGACAACTTGTAAAGGAATTATTGAGCCTCACAAAGGAGCAGGGTGTAATTGCTAATTGGACTAGGAGGTCAGCAAATGCTTTAGTTGACACTCTAGCAAAGTAAGGAGTGAATAGAGAGTCTTTGTTTTGGGCTGTGTTGTAATTTGATTTTATGATCAGGGGTCACCTTATACTTTTGTAGGTGACAGTTGTATTTCTATTTTTCAAGCTAATGAAAATTACCATTTCCTATCCAAAAAAAAAACTTCTCAGCCCATAATATTTATACACTGCTCACAGGGAAGGACCTCTTCCTTAACTATGAAATGCAGTGCCACACTCTCTACTCAAATGGATTTTGGGATTAAAACCTTTTGCAAACTCTTTTAAAAAATAAGCTATTTATAAATATAAATACATTTTGCAAATTGATTCCAAAACAAGTTGAAATTCATTGTCAATAGTTTGAGGTTTCCATTAGAGAGAATGTGGCTAATTCTATCACAATGATCACCCACTCAAGTGATATTCCAAATTGCTCTGACATACTTAGGTATTTGGCCCTTAGAGGATCTCACTGGTTAGTACATCAAAAACAGCCCAGTCCAACACTTAGTGTAATATCACTATCAAGTTTGGAGTTAAGTGCAACTTTCTAGTTTTACCCATCTAATCCCAAGGTCCAAGTCATAACCGAAATGGTACTTGTTTAATGATTCAGTAAACACCCACTAATTGTACTTTGAGTCTAACCCTAGTAATTAAGACAAACAACTCCACTAATTCAGTAGTACAATGGTGTCAACCTTAACAAGATGAACTTCCCAAGTTTAGCAAATGGCTGAGAACATTCTAAACTAACATAAGTTTCATAAATGTCCAATTTAAGGAGTAATACACAAAAACACACCAAAACACTGTCTAACAATTATATCCTTGAGTTAGTCTCTATGTTATATGATAATGGGTTGTTCTTGTATCATTTGGTGTAGGAATAGCAGACATGCCTGCATTGGGTTATTTGGTCTTTCATTTGATTGATAGTAGTAGCATGTTTGTGTTTTATTGGATGGTCATAAGAAATTGTTGTGATTGTGTGAACTCATGAAAACCAAATTTTAGGGCATTTTTTCCCATTTATGGATGCCCAAGTCTACAAGCATACCATTCATCACTGTAAAGGAAAAATAAGAAATATAGGGAACTATTGTCATCCAAATTCTCAGAATATGTATTCTGAATCCAAGGTAACAAAGACATATGCATGCATACAAAGTAAATTTGCTTCTTCCCATGCTTCCCGGAACAAAGCCACCATAGTTGTAGAATGCAAACAAACAAGGCTTTAATCCGAAAAGAAATCAAATTCAACTTTTCCAAATCGCCGGTACACTGCAAGATTGTGGCATCCAGCTCTTATAAAGCTCATGCACCCTAGAATCGACTAACCTCCTCAAGCTGCAGCAACAGAGAAACTAAAGAGTGCGTACATGACTAGATGTGATCTATCAAGCTAGTTGGACTGTTCGCAGTGAGAGTCACAGACCTGAGACCTCATGCCTCACCCTAACCTATAATCTTATTAACAAAAATCAAGATAAGAATAATCAAATCATGAATATTAATGCATACGACAATCTGAATTCCATTTCTCACAAAACCCCAATTCCCCCCTGACAGTATGCAAGTTACGCTCCAATAAGTAATTCATCTAATCATCGAATAAACTAAGAGAACAAAGCAGACAATTTGGAATCTCGTGCAAAAACATATATATATGAAGTTTAAATAAACAAACGAAATCATGCACATGAGTATTCAATTCATACAAATTAACCTCACTAATTAGTCAAAAAACCACGAGTCAAAACCAATCACGGGATCTGAAACCATAGCACCAGGAACTAGCCAGATCGCTACTCATATGTAAAAATAAGCATAAGGTTAAATGATAAACATGCCAATTACCAGAAAGGAATTAGAACAATAGGCATATAGATCTTGGTCAAAAATTATAACTTGAAATAAATCTTCCTTCGTTCAGAACAAAACCATCACAGATCTAGCGAAAATTAACAAAACCCAAAGCAAATCGAAAAGGGGGGAAAAACAAACTGCATGAGAGATCCGATTCTGGTCAAACCAGGAACGATTTCCAGATAAGTTGGGCAAAACCCAAAGCGAAGGATAACTTGAACTTACTACTCCGGATTCATGATCGTATATCACTAAGACCGACAAAGCTAGAACGACAATAGACGACGGCGATGGAGTTCTCTGGTTTTCCGGCAGGAAATCGAACCGAACCTCGGACTTTCACCGGAAAAAAAAAAGGTGAATTGCGGAGAAGATTCCAAAAAAAAAGGAATTTTGAACGAAGCAAGAAATCGGGGAATGGAGAAAGGAATTAAGGGTTGTTTGATTGCTGAGAAAGGGATGAGAAAAGGGAATTGCTATCAAGCCTAGCAACGGCTCAGGGTTGAATGCTAAAACCCAGGAGGTTATTGCTACCAAACCTAGCCTACTATTAGGACTTTTTCTATTTGTATTAATGTAGTAGATGTTACTCCATTTTGACATAGTTCCCCGCGACTATGGTCTATTGAAATAAAGTATATACTATTAAACCTATAAGGCTTATCTAAGGAGCTGTCAAATCATCCATCCTCTCTCAATTTTCTTATTTAATGTATTCATGGTATACTGAATGAAGTAAATTTATTCATGGTTAATGGTTGTTCTTATTTTTTTTTTCATTGACTATTTTTCTAGCATATAAATTACATAGGCATTCTAGAATGAATTCCCCCATTTATTTATTTATTTATTTTTTATGAATAGATGGAGCAAAATTTGCTTTATGCAATTGTTGGGGCTGTAACTACTATGGTTGTAGTTATATTTTCATTGTTGCAAGAATATGTGGATTATATTGATAGGGAAACATTCGTGAACCGGGATTTTGAACGAAGGGATTTATTGGATAGATTATATAGACAAAAAGAAATAGATTGTTATAACCAATTAAGAACGGGGAAAGCAGCCTTTGCAAGGCTATGCAAGATTATTCGTGAAACAGGAAGACTACATGATACAATGAGGTGCACGGTAGAAGAACAAGTGGCACGCTTCCTACACATATTGGCACACAACGTTAGGAATAGAACAATGGGCTTTCATTTCAGTCGGTCTAGTGAGATTGTGAGTCGTTATTTCAACAACGTATTGAATGCTTTGTTGAGCTTGGAGGATAGGTACTTGATTCAACCAAGTGGTACTGAAACACTTCTAGAAATTAGAAACCGACATGATTTTTTGCCATATTTCAAAGTAATTAAGTGATAAAGTCTTCTTTATGATGTATGCACCCATAAAAATGAATAATAAAAAACTTAAATCTATTGGCAGGATTGTGTTGGGGCAATCGATGGCTCACACCTCCCTATGAAAGTCCCTTCTACTGATGTTGCTAAGTTTCGAGGTCGTAAATCTTATCCCACACAAAACATCCTTGCTGCATAAACTTTCAATTTGTAGTTCACATATGTATTACCTGGTTGGGAGGGTGCCGCATCGGATTCTCACACGCTTAACAATGCTCYGAGGAAAGAGCATAAATTAGAGGTCCCTCAAGGTAGTAATAAACTCTCACAAGAGACTTTTTCATTTAATAGGAAAGTATGTACGTGTTTTCTAACTTTTTATATTTTAAACAGGTAAATATTACCTTGTAGACGTAGGATTTTCATTAAAGACGGGGTTCATTACACCATATCGAAACACACGATACCATCTAAAGGAATGGGGTGCACATCAACCTGAGAACCCAAAAGAACTGTTCAACCTTCGACACTCATCGCTTAGAAATGCCATTGAACGGATCTTTGGGGTATTGAAGAAACGCTTTCCAATATTGGTATCTCAGCAACATTACCCTTTTAAGTCACAGGTGAAGATTGTATCTGCATGCTGCATCTTACACAACCATGTCATGGGTGTGGATCCGTATGATTTCATCATGTGTGTCAATATGATCGAGAAGCAGTTGATACTGAGGATGATGCAATAATTGATGATTTAAATGATGATAGAACAGACAATACACAAATCTCCCAACTATCTCAACGAGCTAGTAGAAATGAACAATCAAGGGAAGGAATTCGTCTCAGAGAAGAAATAGCTACCCAAATGTGGGCTAATTATGTCTCGTATCGATCTAGGGCTTGACATTAATTTCTTCCTGTTGTTTAACTCTTTCTTTCTAATATAACTTTTGTTGTATAACTTTTTTCTGTGTGCACTCACTTCTTTAATTGATTATGATGTTTGTTTTTATTAATTGCCTATTGCTATTTATACAAAAATACCTTGTATTAATTGGTGTTATGGATATATATTGTTGATTTGCATTGTTCATTTGATTCGCATGAAACAGAAATTGACTCTTCTAAATCTCAGCATAAAAACAAGACTAGAAAAACAAATATGAGTTGGACACAAGGACATGGATAATTTACTCATTGACACACTTGCTGAGCAGGTGTTACACTGCAGCGGCTTAAACTTTCTTTAAGCCAGCTTACACTGCAGCGGCACGTGCTATTAGCACTAAGTTTTCAGTTGAATGTACTCAAGGACACATACGAAATAGGCTGAAAACAATCAAGCGGAATTTTGCAATATTAGAAAACCTTTTGAATCAAAGTGGCTTTAAGTGGAATGATTCAACCAAGACAATAGATGCAACACCTGATGTTTGGGCTACATATATTGAGGTAAAATAGATTAACAACACTTATACTTCAAACACTTGGTTTACAAATTATATGAAAGATGACTTATTATGGAACTCCCATGGTAAATGAGTAGGCACATCTAGAGGCAAAGCAGTTTAGACGAAAAAGCAATTCAAACTATGACCAATTGGCATTGGTATGTGGAAATGATCAAGTGACTAAAAATGATGCCTTTACAGCCAAGGAGCTAAATAAGCAAGATGCAATTTCTGCAACTGCTACTAGTGCAACACTGAATGTTGAGCATGTGTTTGATGACATTGATGAGGCTGAGAATTCTGGAGATCCTAACCTTCAAGCAAAGCCAGTGGAGGCAAGTAGTTTTGCAGAATGAAGAGTTTTAGGAAAACGGAAGTCATATACTTCAATTGTTGCTGAACAAGTGCAAGGCATTGCTACACATCTCGGGAAACTTGCATTTGCAGTTGAGAGAGGGTTTGGTTTATTTAGCAAGGAAAAGGTGTATACTGATGTTATAAGCCTAGAATGATGTTCAGTGGCATTTTTGGTGAAAGCATATGACTTCTTAGCTAAGTTTGAAAGTCGAGTTATGACATTTTACGGAGTGGAGCCAAATTTGAGGAAGGCATGACTTCAAATGAAGTTAGGGCCTCCATATTGAAGGGATGGATAAAAGACTTAAACTATTATAACTCACATTTATTAACAAACTATGTACTAATTATATATGACAAAAACTTGTTTTGATGGTTGAGCCTTTGCGTCCATTTTGTATATTTTTTGGGGATGCATTGGCAATTTGATTGTTGTCCCTTTTTTTTGTGATGGTCAATCTACTTGTATTAGGTGGAATGAATGGTTATATTTTACCACAATGGATTTATTGGTATATGGATGATTATGACTACATGGAATGAATAGGTTGAACTATTGGCATTGATGAACTAATTATAGGTTAAAGACAAATTCAAATGATTTATTGATGTATGACTTTTTGAATGAAATAGGTTATTGAATGCAACTTTTTTGATGTACCAACAGGTCTGAATAATAGAGTAATTTTAGTTCCTAGTAGTTTTATTTATGAATGCATGCACAGGTTTTTTATGGATGAATACATTGAGTAGACCTATGAACAAATTCTATGATGAATGAGCAGGTCCAAATAATTACGCATTTCTTACTCTTTTCAAGTAAAATTTTTGAATGAGCAAGTTTAATAAAACTATTATGCCACGTTCAATCATATGTGTCATACATTTGGGGGGTGCAAGTTGTCATAAAAGTAAATTACATGCATTTTTTTAGTTTAGCATGATTTTTCTCCTATAAATTTTCTTGCAAAATAAATACTAGAATGTGGATTTTCTCACAAAAAATTTCTCAGCAAATAAACACATTATAACTAACTGAGAAAATMAATTTTCCTCTTCTCATCCCATCCTTTCTCAGTCCAATAGGGTCTGTTTGATTGCTGAGAAAGGAATGAGAAAAGGGAATATTCCCGAATTATTCTTCCTTTCTTGTGTTTGTTTACTGGTAAACAGTGTTTTGGGATGAGAAACAAGAGGGACGCGGGATCCCAAAATTAAGTGAGCGGCCCGGTGAGAAAAGAAAACGCTAAGAAAATTACTCGGGCTTTATCAGAGCAAGAAGTTGATAATCTCCTCTCTCTCTCTCCACCACTAACCATCTTTTTCTTGTTATCAACACTTCCACCACCGCCACCACCACTGCCGATCATCACCACATCCTCCTCCAGCATCCCAACCATAACTTCCTCTCTATTCGCTCATTCGCCTACTCCTCAGCGGAGGAGGCTGCTGCTGAGCGTCGCCACCGGAAGCGTCGCCTCTGTATTGAACCCCCACTCCTGTTATTAGCACTTCGACTCTTTGGAAGTTTGGACTCCTCTCTTTCTCTGTACAACCCCGAGGCCTCCCTTCTATCGTCTATTTTATCAATGGCTGCCGCAATGGTCGAAGACAGCGATTTCGAAGATGACCAACTAGCTTCCATGTTGTTGGACAACATCGTTAGGGCATCTCGTCTTTTTGACAACAAAATTCGAGTTCTCAAAGTGGAGAAGTTTTCTAATTACCTCCTGGTTTTGGTTTCCAGGGATTTAAGGGTTTTTTTCCTTGCTGATTTTATCTTTATGTTCTTTGATTACCGAAGGAAGAGTTGCAGAGAATGAATTTGGAGTTAGAATCTGTCAAGGAGAAGATCAAACTCAACAAACA